TATCTTTCCATGACTAGTACTCTTTTGTCGGAACTAACCACACTGATCCGCAGTGAATATTCGCTTGGCCGCTACAATCACTGATAAGGATGACATCGATGCAACTTAATGACTACAAAATATTAACTTTTTTCTTTCGACAAATTAAATTCTGAAACATTTTTTTTAGTATTAGAAAAATAAATAAAGGTGTTTGAAGTATATCTTGATAAAAAATATTCCATATTTAGCGTAAATAGATACAGAAAATAGTACGCGGAGGCGTAAAATGGGTAAAACGATATAATTTTGCCCGTACCAGTTCATATTACTACGTTCGATGTAAACAACGCACGTGTGTCAGAAGTACATTTTTTACCGTCTAATCTGATTGACCGGCCCGTGTTTGTTTTAAAACAACAAAAACAAGCCACAGAAGTAATCTTTTTTTGCGTTATCGATGCCATCTTGCTTTGTTGGTAAACATTGTGATGTGACGTTACCCTTAGAACTACAGCGGTCTGACAGTCATCTTGGACAGAGATAAAAGACGGATGTCGCATTAGGTCTGTAAAACAGATTGGGAACTAACTTTTAAAACAGTTAATTTCCGATTCTGTTTTAAATTTTGAGATCTCTTCATAAATGTCATGCGACATAAATTCCGACAGGGGAAGGGTACATTTGGGGGGGGGGGGGGATAAATTTAAGTTTGGCATCTTCCATTAAACATCTCACAGGGAGTCTTTTCTCTTCCAATTTATTGCACGCAATGACATGATTAACGGTCAAAATGTGGCCGCATTCGCACTTCGCTGGTTTATATTTATGGTCAGCTTTACAACTAGATCGTTATTTTATTTGAATATGAAAGTATCTGATTTAAGTTTTTACAGTGCTATTCAATTCCTGGACGATAATGAAGATGGTGTTGTTTTTGGTTACAAATTTAGCGTCCAATACATTGTAACGGATAATTTGCTATGTTTATATTTCCAAAAGTCCAGGCAACTATGAAAAGCGACGTGTGGGATTTACCCATTTTTGATTGGTAGAAGACCATTTACGAACAACGCCCATTTTTCGATACGAATACTGATTGACCAGATCTAGACCATCTTGGTTTAATATGTTAGGTCACGACAACCCGAGTAATGACTTTTGTTACATCTTAGCGTATTGTTTTGACAGTTTAAACCGTCACCATTAATCTGACTTAATTACGTCTAGATAAACAATCAATAAAAGACCCCCGATTAATGCTCTTCAATATATGTATACAATTTTATAACATGAGTTAAATTATATCGACACCCATCAATGTCAAGGTTGATTTATGCTTTGCTTTTTACTGGATTATTCCCTTGTCGTATTTAATAATAACATGCATACAGTACATTCTAATTATACTATATAGTCTATAAAATAGATATTCTTAAAGTAGCTAAGTCTCTAACTCAATATCATCCAAAATCTTCGACATTGAAAACACGAATTATTTGTCAATTTAAATCAACATTGATGTTGTGATCTTACGGGCAAAAAGATGGGCTTCTGATATCCATTAATTAAGACAAAATAAACATTTTAGCGTTGGTACACGAATCGTGTACCATGGTGCATTTCAGCGCCATTTTTAACAAAGGACTCGTAGAAAGAGGCTAGCTATATTCCACAAGTCATGTCAAACGGTGACGCCATATTCTTATCTGGAGAGCATGCACAATAAATACTATCGGTATAGAGTGGAATAACCAGACGCTAGAGATTGCCTTTCGATTAAGACTTCTGGCGTATTTCGTCGAACATAACTGATTAGAAATTGCAGTAAAAACAGAAACGATTGAATGTAAATCAGTTTATATACATTCACATTGCATTATTGTATGCGTTGCGACCCATTTGTGTCAATTTCTAGATCCAAAATATTAGCGATTTAGCATAATTGTGCTAATTGTGCATAATTTCCTCAACATGCACACTGTTACCGCATGATGCAAAAAAGAGGGACAATAGAAAAAACACGAAATACAGTTTATTCCTAATTCATTCATAATTTAACTAAAGCACATGTGCACTGCCTTTAAGTTGCGTTGTCCGTTTAAGACATCCAGTCTTCTTAGTATAATGTCTGTCTGATTGGGGAAATTGTTTCCAATTCTATCCTCATGAACTTAGATTCGTTGATTTATTTTCAGAGACGGGACAAATCGTTTAAAGATTTGATATCTAAATATAAATATTAAACACAAATCCTACTATAAATATACATAAATTCACCCATTTAGTTGGTTTTAATCGATTTTCAAGTTTTGTAAAGTAAAATTGGTCTCTTGAGTTTTACATAAATTCAGAAGTCAGTTAATTTAACCTCCAGGAATTCCTTATCAGTAATATTCGCCTTTCTTTAGACGAGAATAACTGTTAAAGACAGCGCCGGAATTATCTATAGGCGTGGGGCTGGTTGGAGCCTATATATATATAGGCCTTGTCATAAGCCCTTCTCCCACGCACTGTAGTCTTAAACATCCGTCACCATCGTCGGCTTTGCTCAACTGTGTTTAAAACACACTTTCGTCTTCCTCTAATCGCGAGGGTGGGGGATTGGAAGGGGCCTTATAAGTGGAATAGTCAAGGGCCTCCCGTCTAAATACGGCACAGGTATTAGTGGAATGGGGTGGGGTTTAACGTCAATGCTTCTGTTATTTTCACACTAACCCACCAACGGGTACACGAGGGGTAGATGGGCCTCGGGTTTTTGTCCCGCCCGATCGACTAAGCACGACATTTCTTATCAGTCCCACAGGCGCTACCCAAAACAAGCAGGAAACGGGCTGGAAAAATTCCGAGATTCTTTGGTACAGGGAATTTAACTGGGTGAACACTGGTTTTCGAGAATGATGGTACGTTTATAGATGGTACTCCCTCGGGGCATATAAATTCTAGACATGGATAGCCAATCTAACTGTAAATAAACTGCTTTAGTGCGTAACAATTCTCTAAAAATAACTCAAAGCTAATTTTTAAATAGCACTGCGCTGACTATCACAGGTGTCTGGATCGTGATGCAATGATTAAAAAAATAGAAATAAAAAAAAAAACTTACAAAACAACCTACAAAAACTAAGAATGCATTTCTTTTAAAATTGGATTTCTAGGAATGCACAACAAGTGTTCACTCCCCTCGAGGCAATAACATTTATATACGTTAGTATATGCAATAAAGGTGCATAGATTTGTGAGGTGTGTCGAATTCCATATGTTACTGTGGTTATACCTATTCCGATACATCCATCGTTATCTGTAAGCCCAACTCGGCACGTACAATGATTACTGGGTGGGACAGAAATACATGGGGTCAGTACAAAGTTGACACCATAGATACAAAGAATGTATATTTGATTCCATTTCAATCAGTGTCAAAGAATAAAGACGAAAATATATTCATGAATAACAGAATATTTTCATTGTGGTTTCTAGTTTCCTCCACTTAGGGTTCAACATCCACTGCAACTAGGTCAATTCAGGACCAACATCTTCCGGTAATTCGCTTGTGCCCATGTCTCTTTGGCTGTGGGAGTAAACCGGAGGACCCGACTTAAACCACGAGCTTACGCAGACGACCACACCCCTTGACAAACCGTATGTGCTAAAGCCCACGCGTTACACCCCTCGACCCCCACCCCCTATCTACTTATATTTTGATGAATACAACTATATAGTTAATTCCTTGTCAAAAGCTGTTATAAACGATTTACCTAGTTCTGTTGTAGGCCCTATCTTGAGGCTTTTGTTAAATACAAACTATGACGTGGTTTCGATTCCCCGCCTGTAGCAAGGAGTAGGGTCGCCTATCCAACCATCATGGGTTTCCCCCGGGTCCTCCGATTTTCCACTACTGCCAAAGACACCAGTTGCAATGTAGCTGCGCTGTTTTGCGCAAGTAAACATAGCTTCAAACACAAAACTCCCAACACATAGCATCTCAGTTTGCATTGAAATAAGTAAATTTGTTACAAATAGTGAAGAGTGGACCACTGAAATATAGTTACAGAACAGTTTTTCTACATTTACGAGGTGACGTTAAATCACGCGTATTCTAATTCGGGTAGTAGAAATACCGCGTCGCCGCTGGATTTTATCACGAATTTTTGTGGTAAGGTTTGACCTTTATTCCAATGAGAATTAGTTTATGATATTTAAGCTATGTGCAGTGGAGTTATAGGCCAATAATGTTCTTGTAATCAAATGATTACAAAACTTGCGCAAAGAATGTTCATTGAACCATTCACTACTGTGGCTGGAGGCAAGAGAGAAGACATCAGGTAGTGGAACAATTTATACTTAAGACCCCTACGTGCAAGCGAATTATTGAAATAAAATTTATCTCTCTCTCAGTAGACCAAAAGTCCTTTCTGTCCGTTTTTGTGGGTCACAAATTAGTTACCAAGCCCCCAGTAACTACATGTAGTTAAAAAAACTCAGAATGATCAGTGTTTTCGACTAAAATCGTTGATTAAGGACCTTAAATGTCGATCAACTAGCTTAGTGTCTGTTCTGAAGCGGAGCTAACTGGAGACAAACGTCCTGAGTTTAGTATGATTGCATAGTACACTGAAACGAATGTACCGCATCATGCGCGGATCCCTGGGTGGTGGGGGAGTGGGGGGCTGGGGGGCGTGCCCCCCCCCTCAGCCCCAGTGAGACTGCAGTCATCACTGTTCAGACCAGCACCTGCAGCCAGCAATGGGATTCCCAGATTTTAGTTTATTTTTAATGAGGCCGCGACGAAGACTCTGGGGACTACACCAAACCACTAATGCATGCGGCACTCTAATGATTACCCTTTGCTCCAATGTATGCCCCCCCCCCCCTCGACAAAATCCTTTATCCGGGGCCTGCGCATTGTCTGTGATGTGGAAACGGGCGTTAAACGACCAAGTTGGTGATGCTAATTTTGAATTGAACCCAATATCATACCATTTAACCCCCAACTTTTTTTTAAAGAAAAAAAAAACAAATAATGGACAATATAATTTATTCTAGGAACAAAAAATAACAATATTTATAACAATATTTATATAAAGCAACATATTTAATATCAAAACAGTTTTATTTCTTCCGACATTTGTCAAACCACCGCTCAAGAATTTAAAAAAGAAAGTAGCTCTTTTATTTATGCTACACACACATGACGATGTGATTAGGTCGAAATTGAGACGTTCATGATCAGCACAACAATCTCACTGCAACATTATAACTGTTAGTGTTGGATATGTATGTAAATTCAAAATTCTAACAGTTTAAGCTCCAGTACTTCCACTAATTTTTTATAAATGTCCAAGTTCTGTGCTTAATGCAATCTAGTTAAAATACATTTATATTTCGTTTCGTCTTTGTATACTTTAGATGGCCTCCACTACATGAAGATCTGACCTGTTGTAGTGGGAGGTCGCGTCTGGGGTCATTCCAGCTGCTTTTGGCCCTATGACGTCAGACATTTGATTAACCAATCAGCGTTGACGCCAAGAAATCGTCGCAACAGACCTTTCCATTGGCTAATCCCTCACTTAAACTAGAACGCGGGCTATATAACAACCATGACAAGTAAAACGAAATTTTGGACTATTAAAAACGAAACAAAGCTCGTTTCCCAATTTAAGAATTATAATTTTCAAACAATTTATTTAAGAAATGTGAGGGTTTGTAAGATCCAATAAGTTTGTAGATGACCATAATATAGAATGTTTTCAACTTTAAGAAAAGACTGCCATGGTTGAATTTTTTTTTTATAAATTAATAATATTATTTCTTTGAAATCTCTAAAACGTTTAAAACTATGCACAATCAAAAGAACTTAAAAATCTGGTTCAAAATTTATTCACCTTAATTCCAAATGAATTTTTGTTATGGCTATTTATAGTTTGCACTGGTTTCAACAAGATCACATCGCCATCTTCATACAATTAAAACATTTATACCTTCTTTTTTGTAGAAGCCAGGCCATTCTTTATGAAAATCTGTTAAGCTCTTATTGGCCTAATTACGCAGAACAGATTTTGTAAATTAAAATGGTACATCGACTTTAAAATATATGTGAACGATATGCCTTGCTGTGCCTTAATATAATATTTACAGTTGAAACTTATTCCAACTGTTCGAAAATTAAAGTCTGAAAAAAAAAACCCACTAAATCAGTAGCGTGCAGGAGCTAGGTGATTGGGGCGCAATGGCGCGCTTTGCATCGTGGTATTCGGGTTTTGCGCCCCCTTTGAGTTTCTGCGCCCCCTCTAAATTGCAAAAAATCACGTGGTTCCAATGCGGCTTTTAACGATATAATCATAATCATAATGCTCAACCAGTGCCAAACATAAACCATGACTCAGATATGCCACAAATTGACTCTATAGCATGTTTTTTGTGCCTCATGCAAAAGCACCCGACTAAAGTATATAGGGCCTAGTACTGAGAAATGTGAGAAAGGAAGATATATTAAATATATAAAAACAGATGATATAAACTTGCTTTTAAAATTTAATTTAAATATTAAGCCTCATAAATTAAGTTTGGTACCCCAAATGGTTGACCCTTGTCGTCACCCCCTCCCCTTCCCTGCATGCCACTGATCGACATACAATTAAATCATATAAAATATTTTTAATAAACATAAATCAATTCAAGAAGTCCCGTACTTTTTATTTTATTAAACTGAGATATGACAGTATGCCCTCTATATTTTGGTATTTAATCGATTGTACAGGATGTTTATGAAATCGGTTCATATTTGGTGTAGTTACATAGCATAGAAATGAAAAATGAATGTCATTTTTATAAGGTTTTTTTTATATTATATTATATATATATATTTTTAATATCCAGAAGGTGCATTATCTAGAATGGTGGTAAACAGGATGCCCACCTTCAATTTCATTGTTGGTTTAACATATAATGTAACGTTGGGTTGTAACCTCGAACATTCCATTTTGTTAGTGAAGGAAATAACATGTCAATATCTACATTCAACGACTACAAAACACCTCATGTAAGCCATTTCTATATACTGTCAATTATACCAGACATGACTTCATAATGTATGGACTGGTAAACCTTGAAAAAAAAACAAGTTTAAAATTTCCAAGTTTCCTGTGTTTGAAGTGAGTTTAAAACTCAGTCATTTGCATTAATATATTAACTCGTCAATTCGGGAGACATGGTGGCTCAGTGGGTTGGACGCTGGCTCACTAACCAGGAGGTCCAGTGTACACGTTAGCGTGCACGTAAAAGAACCCTTGAATAAGTTGGAATTCGAAGTTAGAGTAGACCGTAGCGTCGTTGTCCGGGCAAAATTTCCCTCATAGCAGTGGTATTTCGTATGTGCGTCGTGAAGTCGATGCAGAAAAGTAGGACGTTAAACCCCATTTCATTTCTACATCAGTTGACTATATTAAGTCGTCAATTCAGTTCGTTGTCATAATTATCCAATCTAATTTTTTTTTTTCTTCTATTCGGCTCCGGTGGACATTTTAATCAGACTCTTCATGAATTTAGTTAAATTGATATTTTGACAGATTAGTAATTTTTTTTTAAAACTAAAAACTATATATAATCGACAATCGATTAAGATAGAATTGTTCATATTTTTTCCTATATCATTTAGTAATTGAACAGATTGAGCACACAAATTATAATTAAAACAAAATAATAAATATTATATCAAATAATCATTTACGCCTGTTTACATATACACATATATATATATATAATATGTACTTATATTTGTGCAAGCTATATATATATATAAGCTGCAAGAAAAACACAAAGTATACGATTACATTTGAACAGCCCCGGAGAAGAACGATCTAAGTCACTTTTTCAATGAACCCCAGTTAATAACGTCATCTGGAAGCAAATTGTATAAGCTTTCTGTGGAACAAACCATTTCAGGTAAAAACGATCGGAGTCACATCGAACCAAGGCCCTTCTGAAATGGGCTTCCGGACAAATACGTCAATCGTACCCTTTTTACCTTAATTTGGCTTAAAAGTGGAAGTTAGTTGTTGTACTGGTAATTATGATTCGTATTAAGCATCGTTTTGAAGTTGTAATTAAACCAACTCGTTGTTCTGTTCCTTCAAGCATTCTCGCCCAAAAGTCTGTTTTGCCTTTTATGCGAAAAGACAGAAATGTGAATTAGGCCGTTCTTCCCCTGGACTCATCATTTAACAAATACGAGCATACTATGGACCAGGAGCCGAGCATGACGTCACTGCAATACGTCCTTCAATCCAATAAGCATGTCGAGTTTCATGTCGATTGTACTTGAATTGGCGGAGCCTTAGGCTTTATTCGAAAAACGTCGCATTCAAGCAGTAGAAGAACAATAACAAGATGAGTAGCGTTTTCGGCTCAGTTCCTGGTCCAAAAAGTTGAAACATGTTCTCCCCACAGATGCGCCCATGTTCCTACCCGCTTTCTTCCACCTGATTGAAAAATGCAACACAAAAGTTTTTGAAATTTTGACTATGGCTCACTGAGTGGCATCCTAAATTTTTAGATTTTCAAGTCAGCATGACAATCATTTCAACCACAAACAGAATATTCTTTAATGACACTTTTAACATTCGATTTATACGTAAACAAGGTATATTTCCCCAAAAAAATACCAATTCAAACAAATATCAAATCTATAAAGTCAAAAATACATTTCTAGAGGTTGCGCTGTAAACGATGTGATAGCCCTATTGAAATGGTCGGTTAGCAAGTTCTCCCCGCGGGACATAGGAAATAATAGCACTGTGACAGCAAAGGGACAACTCTGATTTCCTCTGGATCACTGTGCATTCTTTTTAAGGTTTTTTTTAAAGAAAAGAACAACAATCACAGTTTAAAATAACACACATAGATTGTAAATTAATATAACAACACCAAGAATACAAGTAGTATTTTGTTAGCGGATTTCATATGTGTCTGTTGTAATTATGTAAAATGCTAGACATAGAGTCTATGTGACTCCATCATCCAGTATTTTCATTGTATTATTAAAGGCCAGACAGCCTGAATGCGTATAACCTGTCAATGTAAGACATGGTAATTGTGGAACATATTGGTAATTTAAGTGGTGAAGAAAGTTAACAGACTTCACCACACGCCTTGGCTTGAAGGCGTCTGTTTCAAGCTGAGCAGGTGACCTCCGACATCTCATTATCTCCTGTTTTAAACCAGTCACTACCAAAATATCGTTTCACTATGTTTTAATCGTCTCAGTTATTTTCTATAGTGTTCCTAATCCACGACAGGTAGCTAGATACCTTGGTGTAAATTCCGTACTTTCCCTTTCTACCACAGCCTTCGCCATAGCTCGTTACTCCGTAAATAAACCACCGTTTAACACCGTTGTTATCTTCTCTAGAACACATGAGAGGCCCCCCACTATCCCCAGCACAGGAATCAACCCCACCCCTTTTATACCCTGCACAGACTTGGGTATCTGTTATGTCATAATTGAATACACTTTGACATCGCCTCCTGTTAACAATAGGTACGCGTGCCTCCTGTAATTTCTCTGATCCATAAATAAGTGTGTTTTTTGTTTTGCCCCAACCGATTGTGTAACATAAAGTTTTTCTGCGAACTTTGTCCCTTTTGTCTGGTAAACAGGCAAATTTTATCTTATCACTTTCTACTGCGCGTTTAAGTTTGATTAATGCGATGTCATTGGTAATGGTGGCATAATCAAAGTCAGGGTGAGGAAAGTCTTTCGCGGGATGAACGGTTAGTTCCGTTTCTTCATATTCTCCCAGATCGAGTTCACCGATTTTCAGTATAACTTTTCGCTTCCGACCTTTCTTGCGCACACAGTGAGCCGCCGTTAAAACCCACTGAGGAGCAATTAATGTTGCACCGCAATATTGTTCTTTCCATCTGGTCATTACAGCTACCTGAAGAACAACAAAGTATATAATTAAATAGATATGACGATATATAGATATGATCCTATGACGATTGGCTAGGGACGTTTTATTACTGAATTATTAAAGTAAATGATTTTCGAGAAAATGTTTTAGATTGGCTGAATATAAAATTTTCAAATTACATTATTACACCTTTATGTAGATTATGTTTGCCACATATTACTTTTTGTAAACAAACAATACTACTTCAGCTTTACAATTTACTACCACATGCTTTGTGTTTCTATACGCATTTTGTGGGCATTGTTAATCGATCCACTCTAGTCAGTTTAGACTTCATAGCTGCAAGACATGGTAAGCTTATTCTTTCCCCGAAAACTAGATCACATATGCCGTGTAGCTATCAGAGGTATATTTACTTTTACGTTTGGATTTATAACGTTATGTGATATCTACTGTCGACAAATAGAGATAAGGGGTAATGTATTACGGACTTACAAATGCGCCAATGCCTTTACAGTTGTGCGTGAACCATTTCCGTATATTCAATTGAATATATAAATATTGACTTTATCACTTCATAAATCTAACATGGAACCAAAGGATCAAAATAGTTTGGAAATATTAAGAACTGGGATATGGATACATATTGAAGTAAAATATTAAATAAATTGATTAAAATCCAAATAATATAGTAAGTCAGCTTAAACCCCACACTGTGTATCATAATAGTGCATGCTATATTGAGATGTAACATTGTGTAAATAATGTCTTAGATTTGGATGCACTTTACAATCTTTACTTAAAACAGAAAACAAAGAAATAATTCTTAAATAATGACGTCAAATATGTACGCAATACGTATTGTGCATGCCTACAACATTCCAGCTAGTTACCGACATACTAGCAATATCAGTAAGAATGGGGTGGCTCGATATATAACTCTTTACACTAACATGACAAAGAAAGCAAGAACATCTTACAGATACCAAATACCAAACATTTCTTTGAGAAACGTTTCTCCATCATCTCAAAGACCGAAATATACACTATACAGCTTTATATCGTTTCTCTAGATACAATCCTGTACAATAAATCCTATAATAAAACCTGTTATTCAATCTAAAAATAATGTGTGCAAATATAAACAAATATTAATAACAGTGATAATTCTGGCGGTAATCCAGAAGTTTATCGCAACAGACATTTGTATTGAGGATGACTTTCAGAATTATACGTTTCGCTTGTTTCCAAAAAGTACATAGTTCCATTGGTTCCACAAGGTTGGCCATTTAGTAAAGTGGCGTTGTTTTAATTCCCAAGGAGTGAGGTCGCCTAACCGGTCGTGTGGGATTTCGTTTGGTCCTCCGTTTCCTCCAATTGCAAGCGAATAATTGAAATAAAATTGAACCATCTACTGGTCCCGAAATGAGCTAGTTTGTGTCGAGTGGGCGTAAATCCCTTTTCTCTCGGCTAGCTGTGGCTAATGATATATAGACATAGCAACACTAAACATAGCTCTGCTAACTATATATTTGGAAGTAATGAAAGCTTACACCACCTGGAAATAAATACCACAAATTCTACAAAGAAGATACTATAAACATGATACAAAAATGTTGGAACCAAAGCGGCTTTAGAAGAACCTGTGCGTTTCAGTATACTATTCGCCCTTCGTTTTAATATCACTGGAATATTGTATTTAGTCTGAAACATGCATCCCATATACACGAAACAAGACGATTATGCGAAATATTTTCGTTAATTATTATTGAATTTTCAGTTTTTCTTTATTGGAAAATTAAATGGCATTGGATTTAACGTAACACGGACATGCGTCATGCAGTTTGCTATGCGGGACATTTTTCCAAAACAGTGGCACTATTTAGAATTCCAACTAATAAGAGTTCCTTTGCCATGCATCACTGACCGCACTGGACAATCTCGAGGACGTCCTGGTAAGTGAGCTAGCACCATGCATACCGAGGCCACCAAAGATATCAAATTTATAGGGAAGGACAGGTAACAGCGGATACAGCATACATTTACTATTTATATGGCAGAGATTGTTATTACGAAACTATATTAAGAGTTTGAATAATATATGTTCACAGAATCGATCAATCAGACCGCAGTCGATAATTTAAATATGTACAGATAGCATAATGTGAAGACTTTGGTTGGCCACACTGAATCTGAGGAGTGGGAATCTCTAGCGAGCCGGAGGTGAGAATCAAAAGTTTTTTCACCCTGGTATAACCCGGAATTGAATTTATCGATATTAACACGAAACTGCATATGCTGATTCTCTCTAGAACAGTTCTTCCAAGGGGATATAAGGGGGGATTTGGTTGACCAAATGATCACAGACCTCCTTACCCTAACCCACAATTCCCGATAGATGACTTTTCCGTATTAAAATATGCCCTGCCAAACAAACAACATTTCGGTCTATCTTTCTAACTGGCTTATAAAACACCATATCGGGGATTTCCACCTACCCAGTTGAGACGCCCAGGGTCTAGGTTTACCTAATACTAACCCTAACCCAGAATCGCCGATAGACGAATTTCCTGTACTAAAATATTCCACATCTCATCCCCAATCTCAATCGGCCAGATGTCCTCCAAATAGTCATATCTTCGCTAACCGGCCAGATCACCCCTAACTGACCAGATAATATACAACGACGTGTTGACTAGGTCAATGACCTGTTCCATGTTACTGATTCTGTAACACGTGAGTAACTAATGCCTGTTTTTCGCATATCGGTGATTCTGTAACATGTGTTACGCATATGTGTTTAATAGGGCAGTGATCTTTCCCATGCCAGTGATTCTTTAACGTGTGGATGTCTGCTGGGCCAGGGAATCTTCTAGTCTCTATCGAAATGAAATGAAGCGGAGTTTTAACGTCCCTCTTTTTGGCACCAACCGTTCTAATGACGACATGCATTTGTGGCTACTCTTCGTACTATCATGGGGCCTTAAACGTGCATGCCAATTCCGAGATTGTGGAGGAATGGCTCCAAAATAGAACAAGGGATGTGCTATGAGGGGAACTATGCTCGAACAGTGGCGCTACGGCCTACTCTTATTTCAAATTCCAAAGTCAAAGTTAATTGTATTACGTGCACGGCAACGTGTACGTATAGGACCTAGCTTTGTCGTCTCATTCTTGTGCATCTGACAAGGGGAAGTCATGCTGGAAAATCATCGGCTCTGTGCACGCCACTGGGTTCTTAAAATAATAGTTAATTGTCTTTACTATAGGTCAGTAATTCTGGTAGTCCTTGACATCGTGTGGGGTGATGTCGTGATTAAATTGTACGGTTTATAATCTATTGCTAACTTTAGTTCTTGTTCAATTATATAATCATCAGAGACTTGATCCAATCATATTGTACACATGACTTAATGTTGTGCTGATTTTGTTAACGTAAAACTTATTTATGGATGTTAATTACCACTTTGATTAGCAGATTACAAGGCGTGAAAATGTCAACTCTTTCCATTTCATAAGATTATATCAACATGTTAACAATTTCACTTGACTTTTAGGTTTGAAAAGATGGCGTCGCCTAAAATAAGCATGTAATTACCCCAACAATACACAGTTGAAATAAGTGTTTGACGCGTCCTGAAGCTGTGACCCCCACAAAGGACATGTCAGTTGAATAATTACCCAATTTTTAAAGCCCGGGGATTAGTAAAATTCTAGAATATCTGACAATAATTGTAATCGATAGAGTACTGATATCGATTGATTGGGTATATGTCTAAGAATACTCGTTATGACGTCTATATACCGGTAAAATTGAAAGTGATACCCACGCGCGTGTTTTTTAAAGATAAAATGGTCATTATGAACAATAGTCCGATAAACATCAATTCATTACAGCACTTATAGCACATCATGTTTTCCCTATTATCAACTAGTTAAGCAAAGAAAAAATATTTGAAGAATCGAATTGAGTCTGGTGCCATATTCTTTCCTTTCAGTCGCTATCGATCATGGTGTGAACTTCAGTATAAAAGTTCATCAACAGCAACAGGTGAATGACACTATAAGCCCTTAGGTAAATAAAAGTTTATACTATTTAATTTTGCACTGTAACAAAAATTTCCTTGAAAAAACGTAAAAAATTCCGGAAACAAAAATTACCAGGAAAATTTTATCCGTATTTGTTTTTCCTGTAATTTACAGAAATTCCTTCAATTAACATAAATTCCATTTTCAAATACAGAAAAAAAAAATCCTGGTAAATTTTGTTTCGTGACCATGAAGGTGATAAAAATTTCATTGAATTAACCATTGACTTTATACGCGTGCGTGAAATAGCTTTATTTAACGTCCGCTTCCACCGAAGTGATATCGCAAATAATTTTTAAACGTAACCTCTTTTCGCTATTATAAGAATCGAGAGCAAGGTATCACAAACCGCTACTCGTCAGTGGTTGGAGGCTTTCAGATTTAAGTTTGCGGTATTATCAATTCGCAGGTATGCAGACTCTGCCATAGAGACAAACCGACTTACACTGGCCAACCGGTTGTACTATCCGGACTTTAGCGTGCTTTTTTTTCTTTTTTTTTTACCAGATATTACAACCTTAACACCCGCAGCATTAAAACATACTTTTACATATTTATGAAAATACTTACAATCTGATTACCGTATGATGAATAACAATACACTTTATAGATCTTATAAATAATGGAAATTAGATATACATGTCAAATAATATACCAAACGTTACAAAATATGATTCTTCATATTATGGTTAATAAATTGAAATGAATACTATAACATTATGATTATAAGGAATGATTATATATGTATACGATTACTTATCGTTGCACCGTTTATCCCGTAAAACAACAGAATTAAGTCCATTACAGAACGGAATAAAACATTTTATCCCTAAATTTCACGGAACTTCCTTGTCATTCCACCGTTTATTCCGTAAAATAACAGAATTAAGTCCGTTATAGAAGGGAATAAAACATTTTATCCCTAAATTTCACGGAAATTTCCTGTTTAATACTGAATATTCCACAGAAATACATAAAACACGTAATTTGAAGAAATAATTCAGACAATTAACACAATTTCTCCAAAAAATCCATCGATTAACAGAAAAAAGGTGTTAAATTACGGAATTCGGCCACATAAAAAATGGATATTTTTTACAGTGTGTCCTACTATCGTGACAAATATTGGTCGTCAGTATAATTTCGGATGGAAAGATCCCCGATTGCGTTCAATTAAATCAATATTCCACATGAAATTTAATGATAGACCTATTAACATTTGGGATAAACGGTAGACAGCTCAAAGTTATATTTAATTTGGTTTCGATCGTTCCAACATTCGCTTTCGATCGAATTCAGGAGAGAACCAAGAACATTGGTGCCCAATATTATTACTTAGCTATTTCGTTCCTGATATCTTATCTGTGTCAAATTTTACTCTACTAAGCTATTTCGTTCTGATATCTTATCTGTGTCGAATTTTAATTTACTTAGCGGAACCAGTGACTTATGAGATTGCATGAAAAATCGTAGTCGTATATAATACAGACTGTAATGATGAGCTGGGCATTGCGACTGTGGTCACGATACGATTCGTATCGCGATGTATAATTAATGCATTATGTACCAAGAAAACAACAGGATAAATGAATAATTTATATTTTTATTGGAGTAACTAAAACCTGGAAAAACAATGTAAGGACCAAAACAAATGAAATGAAATGAAATGGGGTTTAACGTCCCACTGTTCTGCTCCTATACTGGGCTAATGAAGACGGGCATACGCCATACAGTGTGCTACGAGGGAAATTTTGCCCGGGCAGCGGCACTATCGCCTACTCTTATATCGAATTCCAACTGCCAAGGGATCTTTTACGTGCATTCTAATGTATACACGGGTCTCGGTTTTTCGTATCATCCGAAGGACTAGACAGCTTTCCTTGTCAGTCCTTCCGTTCTGCACCACTGACAAGGGGAAACCACGTCGGAAAATCTGGATGAACTTTCTCGGCCAATGCAGGGATCAAACACACGACCCCCAGGTTAGCGAGCCAGCGTCTTAACCACCTAGCCACCGTGGCTCCAAGGACCAAAACAATTTAAGGGTGTTTGTGTACCTATAGATAATGTGTGACGTGGATAATTTAGAGCCAGCGTCTTAACCACCTAGCCACCGTGGCTCCAAGGACCAAAACAATTTAAGGGTGTTTGAGTACCTATAGATAATGTGTGACGTGGATAATTTAGAGTGATAGGTTAGTTACTGAAGCGACAAAAAAAACCCATTTAAATAATGGAATCGGCATCTCGCGATTCAATACGCGAATCGAGAGAAGATGAATCACGATACATCGATTCAATGATATATCGTGCCAGCACTCTACAGTCTAAAATTGCCCAGGGCACTTAGAAAATCTTTCCATCATTTGCCCTTCAAGATAGATGAGATAAAGACGGCAATGGAAAAGAACTACAAACGTTTGTCAGCTATGTGAACATTTCAAAAGGGAAGTGGTTTCAGGTGTTCTAGAAGAGTAAGCATACCCTGGGTCAGCCAAAGGCCTATGGAGTTTTATCGATGACGATACATTAGCACAAAATTCCCCATACTTTAATGTTCAAATTGCCATGTTTTTTTTAATTTTGCCATATAATGATATATTTAACAATTCTGAAATTGATGACATCGAAAAAGCGTTGTCCCAAAAATTTCCGTAATAAAATAACTTCATCAACCCCGACCCGTTGTCGACCATGAATTGTTAGCTAATGTTTTATATATAGCCAACACCACAGCTATCTCGAATCCACCTGTAAATGCATGGCTATATGATTATTAGTCTCTGATGGGGAAACGTTGGCTTAGAATTATTGATATGCGTTTGATTTATATATATATATATATATCACTTGGTTCAGCCAATCTAATATCTCGCTCATCAGATCAAATAGATTGTATATGGCGTGAAATTATTCTGCAACTTAATATAGTAAAATCTAGAATGTCTCCAAGCGTACATTGTATTTTAAACCAATATCAGGACAATTTGTGTAAATTACCTGTGATCTAATTTATTAATATATATAAACAAAGAGATGGAGACAATTGGATTACACATTCACTAGACTCAAACTATGTTATTTCTGGTACAATTATTTTATTTCAATAATTCGCTTGCTATGTTATTTCTGGTACAATTATTTTATTTCAATAATTCGCTTGCACATAGGAGTCGTTAGCAGTGGGGCGAGGAGGTGTTGGGAAGGGGGGGGGGGGGTGGAGAAAACGAATGAGGTTGAAAAGAAGACCCTTCTCCTTGGTCAAAAGGTTGGGATCGAATCAGGCTACTTGACCCTTGACACAGACTGTACGACCCAAAGCTCACGGGTTGGACCATTCGACCATCCACCTACCTACCCCTCCACGCCCGGGGTTATAAGAATATAAAAACGGTTTCATTTTATGTATTTAATAATTAATTATACTAACCATCCCGGGGTTATAAGAATATAAAAACGGTTTCATTTTATGTATTTAATAATTAATTATACTAACCATCCACGGCCATGATAGTTTTTTCGCTTCTTGTCCACCTACTATTCTGTAAGATCCAGACATATTAGGAGGTCTAATGCCACATTGTGCCTCAAGACTATCCAGTTTTCCTACTCCTATTTTTCCCTTTCTTTCTGATTCTAAAAAATACACAAAATATAAACAACGTTTTCTAAATTTTACAAAATATACATTTATGACGGTAGATACTTTGGTAAAATATAAGTGGTTTAGCAACGTTAGTCGCAAACACAACATACATCTACTGGCACTGTCAACAAAGGCTTTCATAACCTAGGTGCTGCTGTAGTTCGAGTAGAACTACTGCACTGGCATCCAGATCATTTCAAAATAGACATCAATGTATAATAATAAATGACACCTCCTCGGACCCCAGAAGCACCCCCGCTGGTGTTCCACATGGATCTGTACTGGATCCTCTGCTATTTTTAATACATATAGTGAACAATCTATGTGAGCTAAATCACAGCACGCCACCCGGTAAAAGATACCTTACTCCGTGCCGACACCAGTATAAGTCCCTAATAACAAAGGGGTGTGTTGACCTTGACTGGCGTAATGTGATGGGGCCCCCATGAAGCACACCAGGTTAATCCGGCCCTAATTATAGGTTCACAAATTACAAACCTATATATAATCTCATTTTGTAGGCTTATTTAACATTTACATAAAATGGATTTGTAAATTGAAAACCAGCGAATTTTTTGATAATGTTGTCGACAAATTAATTTCAAGTTTAGAGCCTAATGGATGTGTTGAAGTAGCTAAGCCTCTAACTCAATATCCTCCAAAGACATTGAAAACACGAACTATTTGTCGATTTAAATCAACATTGATGTTGTAATCTTACCAGGAAAAGAAATGGCTTCTGATATCCAAGACAAAATATACATTTTACCATTGGTACGCGAATGGTGTACCATAATGCGCTTCAGTGCCATTTGTAACAAGGGACTAGAAGATCGGGGCCAGACGTATTCCACAAGTCATGTCAAACGGTGACATCTTATTCTAATCTGGAGAGCATGCGCAATAAATACTGTCGGTGTAGACTGGAATAACCATTGCCATTCGATTGAAATTTCTGATGTATTTAGCAGAACATAACTGACTTGAAATTAGAGTAAAAACGGAAACGATTGAATGTAAATCAGTTTATATACATTCACATTACAAAAGTATGCGTTGCGAACCATTTGTGTCAATTTCTTTGTCCCAAATATTAGCGATTTAGCTCCTTTAAATCTTCTTTTGCAAAATCGCTTGACATTTTAACGATTGGTCTCTTTCACATAACCACTTAGAGCACGAAGAAATAATGTTGCATGAAAAAAACACCCATGTATCTCACTCAGTCTGTTAAATGTTAATTCTCAACAGTTTTTGTTTCTGCCTTGTTTAAATTGAAGTACTGTCCCACATTGCATGAAATAACATTTTCTGTGAGGACAAATTCGTCTACATATGCTTACAGTTACCTGACAGACCCTATTTTTTCAGCCAAAATCGCCGACTCTAAAAGTTAATCACAACTGCAGTCGGAATCGACATGATTTTCAAGAACCCTAGAAATGCTAGAAAATAAACACTTTACGATATTAAAATGACACCACAAAAGCTATATGCTGCAGCTATCGATATAGCTTATTAAAATGTCAATTTATTAGTTCAGTTAGTTCTATCCAATCTTACCCTAAAATATCGATCGACCGACCCTATTTTTTAGGACCAAGTAACTGTAAACACACGGCTAGATCTATTTATTAAGGCCAGCTCAATTTTTGGTCAAGGTCACTAAGATGTAAATAAGGTTAGGGCACGTGATTGTTGGCGAGATTGTAGGTAAGGGTTAGGGTAAGCGTTAGTGCTAGGTCAAGGGTTGGGGTTAGGGGTTTATGATTAGCGCTAGCCCTATTTACATCTCGTGGTCTTTGACCAAACTTGAAGGCGGCCTTATGAAATAGATCTAACCGTAAACGCACGTATTATTTTCTTGGCCTGATATGCCGTATAACACCGAGACATGATTAACGGTGATTTGAAATAGGATTGTAAATGTCAAAGCAATTACACTTTCTTCTATTCAGTCGCGATCATTGAAAACGACAATAGATGAAGTAGTGATCCCTTCTTATCAGTCTGGAAATATTAGCAGAGTAAGCACAACTGCATAAACACACCAGAAGAAAAATTACTGATATGACTAAACGTGTTTTCAAAAAATAGACATTGACTTTTAAGTTCTGTGGAATAGAGTGCTACCTGCATATTACCCCATCGGCGTCAGCCGTAGAACTGGCTATACTTTTTACTTCTTGTTCAAAACCTTTTGAGGATTCTAAGTACATTTAGTAGGATTCTCGCGCACCTCAAGAAGGGCCACAAATTGGAAAGACCGTAAAGACGTTCGTTTCGCGTTTTCAACCTTTTCTCCCCCCAGAGGAGTTAGAGAAAATTGTCCTGAAGGAGATAATTTGGAAATTTTGTACAGAAGTGCATAAAGGATTTCAGTCAAATGAGGTCACCGTGTTTGGTTGTTCTGGGGCTATGTAAAGACACATTCAAAAACCTTATTTCAACCGAATGTGATAGGAATGCTATTGGCGATAGTTATTCAAGTTTGTTAAACTGTAGGAAGGCGGTACTTATTTAAATTTACTTTAAGTAACGCTGATGTGGTTTATAGACGCGTGCGATATGGTTGCATCGACAAGAAACCTTTAGACACGAATTCCTAGCTTCTGCTGTCATCGGCAAAACATATAGGAATATGCTATAAGCCCACTTGAACTCTTGGTAGTAGCGAACCCAACTGTCACCACTTTGCAACACGAGAAGACAATATCAAACAGGCATTGTTTCTCAAAACTACCTTTAGGCTGCGTAAAAATGTGTCATTACATTATTTGCAGATTGTTGGTGGCACGTAAGATACGTACACTTGAAGACAGTTTAAGAACTGTTTCCAGCGATAGAACAGTTCTCACGCGCACACAGAAAAGATTTTAATTTGAATTGTTGTGCTGTATAAATACAATGAAATAAAATGTGGTTTAAAAAAGCTAAATCGCTATTCTTTGACACCTAGAAATGGACACAAATGGGTCGCAACGTATATCATAATGTAATATGAATGTATATAACTGATTTATGGCGTGGTTTCACTTTGTCAGTGATGCAGGACGGAGGGCCTAGCAAGGACAGCTGTCTAGTCGTTCGGATGGTACGAAAAACCGAGGTCCCGTGTACACATTGGCGTACACGTAAAAGATCCCTTGGCAGTTGGAATTCGATATAAGAGTAGGCCGTAGCGCCGCTGCCCGGGCAAAATTTCCCCCATAGCACACTGTATGGCGCATTTCCGTCTTCATTAGCCCAATTTAGGAGCAGAACAGTAGGACGTTAAACCTCATTTCATTTCATTTAATTTCATAACTGATTTACATTCAATCGTTTCTGCTTTTACTGTAATTTACTGTTATTCCAGTCTACACCGATCTTACATGGGATACGTTTAGCCTCGTTCATCGAGTGGCTTTATACAAGTCGCGCTCGAAGGCATTCGTGTGCCAATTTTAAAATGTTCATTTTGTCTTAAAAATTGGATATCAGAAGCCCAACTTTTTACGGTAAGATAACAGCCTCAATGTTGATTTAAATTGACCAATAAGATGTGTTTTCAATGTCGAAGTCTGTGGATGATATTGATTTAAATGCTTGGATCCTTTAACGTCCGAATTTTCATCCCCATCCGGGATAATGAAGCCGGTCATACGTCATGCAATGTAATATGAGGTAAATTTAATCCGGATGGCCGCTCTACGGCCTACTCCTATTTCGAATTCCAAATGCGACCGAGTTTTCAGTTTCCGTCCCACAGAACGTTTACCCGCTGTTATTTGGGAAAACCACGCAGGTAAAAAACCAAGATCAAGCCAAGATCGAGTCCGGGAACTCAGGATTAGCAGGCCATCGCCTTACTAACTGAGTTACCGCGGCTCCCCATCACAAAAGACTTGCTTCATCATCTTGCATTTTTAGAAAGACACAGCCAGCAAATTTATGACTGCAATTTAAATAATTGAAAACATTTTTTTCTTTTTTTTTCATAATCATAGGTATCGCATTTCTGCTATTTAACCAAGCAAGAGATTAACTGAACAGACCAGTCTGTGATTTAGAGTACTTATAGGATTATCAACAGTTACATAATTTTAGAGTAAACTTATTTAGAGTGCCTGGGTCTTTTTTCTTCTGGGAAAATGTCAAACGTCATTCAAACGAGTCGCTATCAAATGGTCATAAAATATACACAAAAGGAATACGGTAGTTAAATAAAGCAGGGTATATTACACAAAGATAAAAATGTTCAGGTATTAAGCCAAAAATAATGACACTATACCTACTTTCATTGGCTGTAGCATTTTTTGTATTATTTATCTGTGTTGCATTGTTGACTATTTCTTCTCGGGGATGTTTATTTGTAACTTGAACGATTGGTTTTAACATGTATCTTCTTTCACATAGTTTTCCTGTTACACGGCATCGCCTTTCTTCTTGTATTGAGCTTTTTCTGCAGATGTGTTGTACTGCGCATTCTCTCTGTCTCTTTTGCTTACACGATCGCGTACATGGGCTCCACTTAGACCAAGAACTATACAATAAATCGTAAAGTAATTGCTCAATGAAACGGTTTTTTCGTTTAAAACCCAACAGTTTATAAGATAAAACAGAACACCTTCCTTTCTGTCGTCGACATGTCCGTTTTTCCTTGACAAAACTGTTACCGCACTGTTCCGGTCTGCGACATCGTCGTTCACGCACCTGTTCACACTTTCTACTGCACGGAGTCCATTTGCTCCACTTACTGTAATATTCACATAGAATAGAATCTATATTTGTTTCTTTAACTTCTATATCTGATGTAGAATAGGTTGTATTATAATTCACTGGGGTAGTTGTTGGTTCTAACGTCGTCTTGCCGTTCTGAAATTTAGAGATCAGATTTAGTTTACGTCATAAAGAAAAGAACAAATAAATTAAATGGGGTTTAACTTCCTAATTTTTTCACCAACCGGGATAATTTTGCCCGGACAGCAATTGAATTCCCACTGTCAGGGGTTCTTTTACGTGCACTCAACTGTACCTGGGACCTCGTTTTTTCGACGAATTCAGAAAAGAACAGGGCTCACAAAATATTTCTTGGTTTCGCAATGTTTAGGCAATCTATTAGCCACTATGATCTTGTTCCCGGCACAGATTTGTCCAGATAGATATGGTTAGCTTGTGGCTAAATCAGCAGACGACTAAAGAATATATACATAAGGATATACGAAAATGGAAAAAAAAAGATTCGGCGTCTAGGGAGCCGCGATGACTCAGTGGTTTAGACACTGGCTCCCTACACTTGGACGTCCTGGGATTGATCTTGGTTTTGGCTTAAGAAGTTCATGGCGATTTTCCGACATGGTTTCCTTTCGTCATAAGAGTAGGCCGTAGTGCCGCTGTCCGGGCAAAATTTCCGTATGGTGCACAAAAGTTGGACTTCAATCCCAATTTCATACAGCTTCATTTCGTTTTCGTGTCAATCATTTCTACGTTTAAGTTTAACCTACTCGTTGTGTGTTTACGTTTAGGTCAATTGGTCACATCTCTCTAAGTAGTCTGGCTTGGTGTAACATTAACTTACATACTAATTGACTAATCGACATTCTTCACATAATTATATACCACTCAAGTTTATTCGAACCTTTTTGTACGAAAATACACTTGTTAGCTCTACACATAATAGGCTACGTGAGCACGTGAGACAAAATTACAAACGACCATTTTGCCTAGAGTGCCTACTTTGTTCAAATCTAATATCAACAACGCCTATTTTCACCATTGTCTGCAAGGTTTCAAGAGTACCCACAGATTAATCAACAGTATAAATTACAAGTAAGTGTTTAACTTGGCATATATATAATAATTGTCTGTGTTCTTTCAAGTTAATGGCCGATATTTTAGAAGTCATATTGCAAGTTAATGAGGTACTTGTCTGCTGCAGTAAGCAAAAGAATGTACCATGTGAATTGAATTTCTTCTAAACCAATCAGTTTATATGTAGGGTAATATAGTATTAAAAGGATTACATTTATATACAAGTGGTATAAATATTTACTCGGTACTTGTCGTGCACGATATAGGTTCCGCTCATTCTTTCTAGAACACACGATGCTAAGGCCTATTTTGTTCCAATTTAGCAGACAAGATGACTTAGTGAGTTAGGCGCTGACTCACTAATCAGAAGGTCTCGGGTTCGCTTTAAGTGGTGACCGAGAAAGTACCTTGTGATTTTCCAGCGGGTTATCCAATTGTCAGCGGTGCAAGACGGTGGTTCTGACAAGGACAGTTGTCTAGTCTTTCGGATGGGGCAAAAAAACGTTGCTATGTTTACACGTTGGCGCACATGTAAAATAAACTTTAGCAGCTGCAATGCAAAATAAGAGTAGACTGTAGTGCCGCTGTCCGGGCAAAATTTTCTCATAAACCCGTTTGATGCGGGACAGTAGGACGTTAAACCCCATTACATTCCATTCATTCACATTTACTTTAATCACCGCTTACTTATTTTAGTCCGAAATACAGAAAAGCACAACAAAAACAGTTAGCTTTTTAAAAGTTGCGAGATAACTAAAAAGTGGTATCTCGGAGAAAGCAGGGTAGAAATATTAATAATACGCTCCATGGCGTCACCAATGACAAGGGGAAAACCGGGCTGGATAATCCCCGACAAACTTACTTGACAAACACCGAACCAGGGCTTTATACTTATAATACAATATATATTAGAGGGACAGGCGGGCTGTGGTACAATAAATATATGTATAATTTTATCAAACATTTACATTTTTATTCCTGCGTGGTTGCGTAGGGGGTCCTGTAACATATATATTAATGGTGTCAGTTTTTATCAAGAACACCTTTTTTTACCCCAAAGCATTTGATCCTACTGTTAAGTCTTGGTGTGACGAGGTGAGAAAATTACCACAACAGTGATAAAGTCGCCATAAGAACAGTTGTGAACTAGGCGCCTAAACATTGTTCACTTCACATTAATTATATATTGGCTATAACCCTAGCTATAAATACCCAGACAGAATTCCTATCGATTTAATAATTCTTTGTGGTTTTTACCAGTTATCTAAAGACGAAAATAGACAAACATATCAATAGAAAATCCGTCTTTTAGAAAATTGACAATATAAAAGAGTCGTGAAGATCTCAATGTTCTGGTGTAAATACAGTTTACAGTCTGTGTATATTCCCTTCGCGTCTAGGAATTATAATCTACTTTGTCAAAACTATCAAGACAAGAAAAAAAAACCTCAAATATAGGTTAATAGATAGAATGAATAGTTGTATTATGTTAGTCTTGTCTACGTCTTCGCACGTGAAATTAGCATTATCTTTTCTTGACTTCCAGCTAAACGAGAAATGAATAGGTTTTATACGCAATTGATGTAGTCTTGTAGACTCGTATATCTAGGACTAAAAAAAGTATTTAGTTATGATTATGGGTTCATACGCAACATACGAAAGTTAAGCCGTCTGTCTACAATTAGCTCCGTTTGAGAACAGACACGAAGCTGATTAACTGGCATTCTAATTCATACACATCGACGATTTTAGTTGAAAACACTAAGTATACTTCGAGAATATGAAGCAGTATTTATTCTGCATCCATTTAATAAAATTGAAAATGTTTTTTTCGTCTTCGTGCGTAAGAAAGATGTAAAACGGATTAGAACCGCATTACAAACTAGTATACTATTCAAGGCAGATATCTATTCTCATTGTAAGTAGTTCTCTGTGTGCAGAATGTATACGCATTTGGTGTAGTTTTGTGAAATGAAATGAAATGGGGTTTAACGTCCTACTGTTCTGCTCCTATGCTGGGCTAATGAAGACGGGCATACGCCATACAGTGTGCTATGAGGGAAATTTTGCCCGGGCAGCGGCACTATCGCCTACTCTTATATCGAATTCCAACTACCAAGGAATCTTTTACGTGCATTCCAATGTATACACGGGACCTCGGTTTTTCGTCTCATCCGAAGGACTAGACAGCTGTCCTTGTCAGGCCCTCCGTCCTGTATCACTGACAAGGGGGGGACCACGCCGGAAAGTCTGGATGAACTTTCTCGGCCAATGCAGGGATCGAGTGTAGTTTTGTAGACCCGTGAATCTAAATGTAGAACGAAAATCTTTTGACCCGTAAACTTCAAGAGATTTGTAATAAGATTAGATCATCAAATCTCAGTCGGTAACAATAACCGCTTCCCCTTATTTGCGTCACTTTCTGATTTTTGTTACAGATTAACCGTAGCCAAGATCTCTGTGTTAAAAGTCGTCTTCAGTAGCCCAGTCGGAGTAGAACAGTAGGACGTTAAACCTCATTTCATTTCATTTCTGTGTTAAAAGTATATCTGGAATATGTTTCACCGGTTCTATCAAATGCGTTAAATTGCAATTGACGAACGCCAATATTGTCCTTTAATTAAATGGACGACATACTGGTAGATGACTTTTGAAAGCATTTATAACTTTATTTGATCATTTCTAACTCTGTAAAGTAAGGGTCTTGCGTCAATTAATTTTGGGTTTACTTGTGCATGAAGCCAATTTGGTTATATATACCAATTCCACAGTTCCATACAAATCTGACTGGAATTGTTCAATATATGGCAACCTACATGCTCTATAACGCTTATCTATTTTTCAAATACAGTGCTATAAGAGGAGCCGTCATAACCACTATACACATGGTCGCATTTGATATACTTGAACATCTGGCCTATCTTTATTCACACCGCGGTTCAATTAACGTCGTGATTAGGCTAATCATTACAACTTATTCCAAACTCATCGAACAAAATATCTAAATTAGAAGTAAATAATGAGTCAAATATGGCACAGGGATTCAATCCATCGACAGAGTTGGTTTTCAAAAACTTTTACTTAACCAAAGCGTATACATGGGTATGGCTATCTTGGTTACTTTGCGTAATTATATCTCACATAAATATGAATTGAGTTTGCGTTTACTTTAATTAAATAAGAATTATTAACAAAAATTCCAGGACTCCCAATAAAGAGCTATAATGTCTTCCATACATTTGTAAGCAAAGTGGTCGTCTATTATGGGACTGGTGTGATATTCCCATTCAAGTTTTTTTCTCAAATAGGTCAAGGTTTCTTGGATGATAACGAGATGCACTGAATGCGCTTTCCGTTCTGAGTCATATTGAAACAGGCTACAGGAGACATTTAGGGTTTGGTAACGATTAAGATGAGACACGCCGATTTAAGGTTAACATCAATGATTACCTTATATATGAACTGGACTTAAAATAAATGACGGTCTGCTAACTAAACTAAACTTTCACAACCAAGCACAGAGCAGCCCCCGTTCCCCTACTAGAATTACTACTAGAGTACGATTCAACAACACAAGGCGACAGTATGTTATAGAGAGAGAGAGAGAGAGAGAGAGAGAGATGTCCACTCAACACAGACTAGGTCATTTCGGGACGAACATATTATGGTACAATTTTACTTAAATTTTTCGCGTCTCCGTACGGGTCTTCAGCATTTGGAAGAAACCTCAGGTCCCGGAAAAAACCTACGAGCTCTTAGGCATGCAGCCATACTTCCTGGCACGTGGGATCAAAGTCACGCCACTTGACTAAATGACAGACCGTATAATCTAAAGCGCACCCAACATCAAGCTTGCTAAAAACTATTCCATTGTAATAAATCATCAAAACTTCTAATACCTAATTCTTATCTCATAAGGCGGGGATGGCCATTACGTTCACTTGCGGGGACAGACTGGACTGTCGGGCATATATTTATTCTAAAATAAATAAAATTCATCCTCGCATCCACTGAAAAATATAATGGCCTACATTCGAGGAGAGAAATGATCTATGCGTGGGGTGCGGAATAGGTGAATCACCCTAGTTTCGCTTATTCATCGCGATGGGGGCACAAGGATTGCCCAGAGTTATCCCCCACTCACTTGTTTATTATTTTTACTCAAGATACAAAATGTCTTTACAATGACTGGAGCGGAATTCTCAAAGTGCACTTTTCACAGCATGTATGATATTGGGTTACCTTTGAACTTGACAGTATGCGTTGTACTTTAAGCGATGACCCATGCCATTTAGTGGTACGAGGCAAGTTTATTTAAAGGTTTAGTGTATCCATTCTAAATGTTTCTTGGTGATAAATAAATGGCTTAATATAGCAGCAAAATTTAAAAGACGGGTTTAGTTTTAGTACATAATGACGAAGACAGTTACCTTCAGATGTAATGTTTCGATGAAATGATGAAATGTTGAAAGGGTGGGGGGGTCAGGGTTAGTCTGAGAAGGAGCCTTCGAATATGGTATGCTCAGGGGGCCCTAAAGAAGTTAATCTACTCACTTAGTTTGGAGGCCCCCTTTTAGTCTTGATTTTATGTTGATTTTGACGAATTGGTAAGATTGCCACACGTTAATTTGGTGCATAAGCTAGAAACATTAGGATATACTCTAGAACGCAACATTTACAGTCAGTTTTTCATTTTCAAAACATCTTCTCTCGCCAGGGACAAAAGAACGTCTCACTTTTCTGCACCAACCAGTATAATATAATTAAGGTGGACCTTCGTCATACAGTATTTTATGATGGAAATTTTGCCCGTACAGGAATTGAATTTCAACTGTCATGGGTTCTTTTACGTGCACACCAACGTGTACACGCGACCCTGGTTATTAGCCCCATCCGAACATCTAGAACAGGGAATTTTCTCGGCCACCACCGGAATCGAAACCCGGGCCTCCTGGTTATGACCTTATGAACAGCGAATTTAATGAGTTATTCATTGTTTGACATACATGTAAATGTTTATGAGCCTCATATTTCATGTAACCAACATGCAGTTGGGTAAAATTAATATTTATCATAATTTATCAGGTCTTTGTCGATCTATTCACTCATAATTCATGTTCACTCAGAGTTTATTAGATTCCGAATACCAATTATCTCTTAGTAATTTCGTCTTATCTCAAGATATGCGTCGCTCTTCTCCTAAGAGTTTAAAACATGCCCCCTACCGGGTATATCTAGTGGATAACCCTTTAGAGGAATAACAATTAGACCCCCACATCCACACCAAAACAGATTACAATTGTTTGATAACAGAATTACATATTCCTAGGGGGTAATTTTCGCGTTTGATTCATATGTAAACAATGTGCTTAAAAGAGAAATGAAATCAATTTCTTTTTCCACGGAGGTCTTAAAGTAGCAATTTTGTCATTAATTTATCAAGCAAACCACGTCCCGTCTGTGAAATGGAGTTTAACCTCCTACTTTTCTGTACCTGGGCTAATGAAGACAGACAGTGTGCTATGAGGGAAATTTTACCCGGACAGCGGCGCTGCGGCCCATCGAAATCAGACTGCCATGGGGTTCTTTTTTACGCGCACGCCCCTGTGTACACCGGACCTAGGTTTTCCGTCCCACCCTAAGGACTAGACGCTGTCCTCGCCAGGCCCTCCGTCCTGCACCGCTGACATCGAGAAACCACGCTGGAAGATCCCGGATAACTTTCTCGGCAAACACCTGGGCGAATCCCGGACTTCCTGGTTTTATCGAGCCAGCACCGTACTCACTGGGCCACCGGGGCTCCTTATATATTTCTCGGATGGTATTAAGGAGATTTGGCTGTCAGCCTTATAAAAAGTAAATTTATTATGTCCAGTCTTTGCGTCAATATCATCCAAAATCTTCGACATTGAAAACACGATTTATTTGTCAAATTTAAATCAACACTCATGTTGTGATCTTACCGGAAAAAGATGGGCTTTTGATATCCAATATTTAAGACAAAATAAACATTTTACCATTGGTACACGAATCGTGTACCATAATGCGCTTCAGCTCCAGTTGTATCAAGAGATTCGAGGGACGAGGCTAGACACATTGCACCAAACCAAACGGCGTATGTAGACTGGAATAACCAGACGCTAGAAATTTACACTCACTTGAAACTGCTGGCTTATTTCGTCGAACATAACTGATTTGAAATTGGAGTAAAAACGGAAACCATTGAATTTAAATCAGTTTATATACATTCATATTACAGTATTATATGCGTTGGAACCCAATTTTGTGAATTTCTAGGTCCCAAATGTTAGCGATTTAGCTCCTTTAAACCTAACTATATTATGGGAGAGAGAAATGAAGTTTAACGTCCACGCGGCACAAACTAGGTCATTTCGGGACTAGCATATGGTTTAATTTTATTTCAGTAATTCGCTTTCGCGTAGGGGTCTTTAGCAGTGGGAGGAAACGCGTTAGATCATCCGACCACCCCGTTCCCTCACCGTCTAAGGCACACCAGTCAAAAACACCATTGTACAAATATTGTAGGAATTAATATATTAGTGCCACGGAGTTCTTCTTACATAAAAATATATACCACATACTATGTGTCGTGTTGGTATCGTACGTACGTATATAATATAGATATATAAAGCAGGTAAACGGGTAGCTATTATGTAACGTAGATATATATACATATATTTCAGTTGTTATATACATAAATACATACATCAAATAGTTTACATATTCTACCAGCTATTAATTCATTCCCTAATCTATAATACATTCTTATCTACACTAGTGTTCAGTCAAGTACGGGTTTTTTTTTCTTCACAAAACGCTTTTCGCTTTCATTCACAAGAAGACCTATATAGCATGTATAGTGATCTAGCTCTCTGTATTTTGCCTATATATATGTGTGTCCTACATAGGTGTATTTAGTTTACCGGCCAAATGCCACAACAATCTATACGGCTATACTTGTTTCGCATTTAAATGGAATAGTTCGGTGTACAACAAGAAAGTGTACTTAATGTCATTTATCTTATTTATTATTAAGACGGATGCAAATTATAGAAATCTTCCTATATAAAATATTTTCACTGTTCGACATCTTACATTATAAAATTGCTTCGTCCAACGAATCTTATTTCAGTCGCGGTTTCGTCAAAATCAGGTTGAAGAAATAAATATTATGTACTACTGTTCCATTTTGGTTCTCACTGACAGACACTGGTTCTGAAATCATGCCCAAACTAGTGTTCCGTTTGGCTGTAAGTGTCGTTCACGCGGCAGGGTAATGGTATGGTTACTCTTTGCATGGAACACCTGATACCCTTTCTTATTTGAGGACTTTACCTTGTTTATAAACTTATCAAATTGCATTGATCGTCCTCTACGTTCAATATTAGTAGTAATGGATTTTTAGAATTGAAACAAGCATATGCTTTAAAGTTCAATATCTATATATTTAGTAGCCCATCGACTGTTTAAGACTTTATTAAAATAACGACAACAAAGCAATTCAGTCTGGGCGATGAGAATAATTATTTCTCCACAACCAGTACTATGTATTATAAAATTATCCGAATTAAGTATAGTCTTTAATAGAATAAACTATCAAATAAAACAGAAACGATATGACCATCAAAATGTTTTACGTAGACTAAACTGATCTAAAAAGACCTAAAACATGAATGTACCTATTAATGTCAGACTAATCCAAAATAGTCTTTAAAAATAGCTACAGTTAGTCTTTAAAAAATAAACTAACAAAACAGAAACGATATGACCATTAAAATGTTTTGTGTAGAATAAACTGATCTAAAAAGACTTAAAACATGAAATAGAATAGCTATTGATGTTTAGACTTACCTGTGGCGGTAATGTAGAGCGTACACTGTGTACATATAATACGTATAGTAAGATTTGTAGTAAACTACGAGCCAACCAGCCACCGTAACACATTGTGATCAAATAAACTACAGTCTATTTTCACTCAATTCACTTCAAGGTTTCAAATCGTTGGTAGGTTTAGTTGGGTGTTCTTCACCGTGTGATATTATTACAGCGCGCCGTCTCCAACACCTTGGCGAAGAAGACGTATATCGGAGTTTTTGTTATAAATGGCGAAGTTCATGAGGCAACAGCAACAAGTCAATACTAGCAGGTCAAACTTATATCTGTAGTTGGATATGAATGAGGGAATCTTTAAGTGTAAAATCATTTTATTTTCTAACCACACTTAAATCAACCTACGCGACTATGACTTTCTGTGTGCGTATAGTATTGTAACGTTTTGTAAAAACCAATCAGAAAACGACCCTCCCCTGTCGTGTCATATATTCATCAATTCACGTATATCATATATACTGCGTTCGCGGTGTGCAATGAAGTATAATGCCCTTCCTCTCCGCCATGGGTTAGGCAGCCAGCAACAATACATCCACCAGTTATAATTGAAGCTGGGTGCTTGTTAACTATTAAACTCCGTATTAAGCAGTATATATACATAGACAATAATTCTATTGTTCTCCCACTCAATAGAAAATAATTTTCACCAAATTTATTCAAACTTGATATATATATATATGGCCTCTCCACTTCATTACCTCGCATTATTCAAAATCAAATAGCTCTGTAAATTATATTCAAGAGAATCTACGCATTTCATAAAAAAATATATCAAGCATGTTTTGACCAAACAACTACGATAAAAGTTTACAGGTTTATGGTTTATAGGAAACTCCTGGTTTCGCCGGTCGACAGTTATACACAGCTATTCTCGTCCAGTTACTAAATGCCGCTTAAACAATTTAGTAATACATTAGGTTGGCATTGATTTTGCAGACTACTGATACCCACAGGGAACGTGAATTATAAATTAATGTACCAGAGATAAGGCCAATAATGCATAAAGGAAATGAAATAAAATGGGGTTTAACTTCCCACTTTTCTGCACCGACTGGGCTATAAATAAAAACAAGCATACGCCGTATCGTGTGATTTGAGGATAGCAGAGCTACGGCCTACTCTTATTTCAAATTCCAACTTTCAAGGGTTCTTTTACGTGCATGCAAGGCCATCCGCCCTACATCACTGACAAGGGAGAACCACATCGGATTTGTAAAAGAACAAATACTTTTCATACGTGTATTAAACTGAATTAACCAAGGTTGTTTCACTAAATGTGAACCTAGTGGCATAGCTAGAGATTTCGCGGCCCAGGAGGGTCCTTTATTTTGAGCCTATCCCTTCCCCCCTTCCCCACGAAAAACATAAAAAAGTGCACCATAGTTTCAGACAGTAAGTAGTAATTTCGTAGAAAATAACATATATCCCTCAAAGGGGAAGGGCTACTCTAAATGTTTGAAACTTGTGTCTGATGCTTTTGATGTGTCAATAAAATCTATTATTCCGGGTTTCCCAAAATGGTGCTTGAGCGTTGTAAATACCAAATGGTATAACTCAGTTGTTAGGGTTAGATCAGATTCCCAACATAGTTTATATATGGTGATATAACATTGATGAATTAATGCGACTGTCTTAATATGTAAAGACACTAAGTTGCCACCCTATTAGCTATTTATTATAATTACTATAGATTGTTACCCATGATCTGTTTTTAGTGTTCTGTAAAGGGTATCATTACATACAAAGTAATAAAACTGCAACGTTTTTTGACTGCACGGACGATTTAGCTACTGTGGCCTTAACCCACTGAACATTCCTTACGAGTTTGAAAAAAAAGTCAGATGATAAATTTAGTCTGTAGAGTGTTCGTAAGTAGTAAAGTGGTCTATATAAGAAATTAAATGAAAATGAAATGGAATACGGTTTAACGTTCTATTTTTTCTGCGCCGACTGGGCTAATGAAGACGGGCATACGTCATGCAGTTTGCTTTGGGGGGAAATTTTTCTCGGACAGATAGCGGCCCTAGGACCTACTCTTATTTCAAATTCCAACTATCAAGTTTTTTTTACGTGCACGCCCGTGTGTACACGGGACCTCGGGTTTTCGTTCCATCTGACCGACTATACCTTGCCCCTTGCCAGGCCCTGCGTCCTATACCACTGACAAGGAGGAACTTTCTCGGCCAAGGCAGGGCTCGAATATGGGACTTCTTGGTTAGTGAACCGACGTCTTACGCACTGAGCCACCGCGGCTCCCGTCTTATTTAAAAAAACTCTACTGACAGTTCTCCATACAAACCATTTTCACTGAACCGGTGGTTAAAATAAAGAGTTTACAGTAAAGCTAAATAACGACTAATGTCAACAGATAAGACTCGTGGTGTCTGTAAAACAGGACAAAATATTATCTGTTTATCACGGCATATTCTAAGTGACAATGTATAAAACCCAGACTTTTTCTCAATAGATCGATTTCGTACAATTCCACACTATTTTGCGCTACCTGAAGGCAGATAAATTACCACCGACTAAGCATCGGGGTTATTGAATATATTTCCAAATGCACGTATTTTATGGATGCCAGAATGTTTAGCTTTTGTATAAACCCATTGTATGAACATGGCGGCCATGGGGAATTCTCGTACACGATACTGATGCAGGATAAAATATAAAAACATTGAAATGCTTCGGATCTTTTGTATACCAATCATTTATGTCATTGTAAGTTTATATCTCTGTACCTTAAAAATCTATGACACAGGAAATAACAACACAATTACCTTCCCTTTTTTTGCTATTGACAACATGGGGCAGCCATTTGAAGTTAAAAATGATATTTTTGCCAATTTCTCAGCTTGCAATAGCAAACTTATAGGATTAATAGGATTATTCTTTAACAAGGTAGGACTGTTTATGGATACCATCCACTTTAAGGCTTTATTTTAATACATTTTAAAAATATAACTTGAAAATTTGCAATTTCCGCTTTAACGCACACGCCCATGCACTGTGCAATGACCGAACATTTTATCGAATTCCAACTGTCTTAAGAAATATAACCCGGAACCTTCAAATTAACGAGCCAGCGCCTTATCCGCTAGTGGGGTTATATGGCCGAATAGTTAGCACGTTAGGTCTGTCATTGAGTCAACTGGCTCAGTTGTACGTGACAAGAAGTAGGGTCGCCTATCCAACATCGTGGGTTTTCTCCGGGTCCTCCGGTTTCCTACTTTGCTGCAGGTGGAAACCGACGATAAGCCCCTACGTAACCCGATCACCAAAGTCAATCTGTATTTATAAATTTGGTATAATAAACGAATTCATTCCCTTATTCGTCTACTGACTCTTATCATTTTATAAGTGTTTTAAAATTCAACACGCACTTTTGTCTGCGATATTACCCAAGGTGGAAGCGGACGTTATGCCTCAACGAACGAACGACACACACCACTTCAAATCGCTTGGTATTGTTCCGAGAACAGAAACCCAGAGACTGTACCTTTAAGGAATTTTTGATTTCTTAAAAAAAAAGGAATTCTACTAAATTTGTCGATATTTTATCATGCAAATCAATACATGTGACATGATAAAACGTTTACCAAAATAAGAGATTTATTTCAGATTTACTACATAGATTCAGAATGATGATACCAGTAGTACACACAATATTTTTTAGCGGCTTTAATGATTCAGTTGTATGCTATGTCAATATAAAATCTGATTTGAAGCAATGCCAACTTCCGCATTTTTACAAAACAATTCCAATTAAAAATTCTTGTACTTTTAGATCCCATTCGGTCCATTAATGGGAGGTTGAAATGTCTGGTGATTATGGCGGAAGAGAGGATTATGAGCCGCGGTGGTTCAGTCAGTAAGGGGCTTGCTCACTAACCTGGGTTCGATCCCGATGTTGGCCGAAAAAGTTTCCCGGATTTCCCCCTTGTCAGTTATGCACCACCGAAAAGGCGAAACCACGCCAGAAAACCCCGAAGACATTTCTCGGCCAACACCGGGATCGAACCTCCAAGTTAGCGAGTCAGTGCCGTATTCACTCAGCCACCAGGCGTTACGTAGTTGCAGTATCGAAATTCGTTTTCGTAAGTATTATTATCTAACGTAATCTTGCGATTAACTAAACTTACTTATTAATTATTAATCTGTCAATTCCGAAAATAAAATATCTGCTTTCGTTTTTACAATATGCTGGTAGCTGCTTATCGCATAATATGTTTAACAGTTACTTTTCCTTTCTTATGGTTTTTATTTTTGCACAAAAATAAAGATTGTTCCATTGATAAGTTTTATTTTGTTTCTTGTTGGTTTCCATAAAACAATACAGCGTAAAACTCCCTTTGATGTTTCTACGTTGTTTTATTTTATTTCAAGCCTACATTCATAGTCTTTGATGGGGTTTACAGACTAGCTTTGATTAATATGTCATGAACACGACGCTTGTTGTAGGGTTGGCCCGGAAACAGGCATGATATCACTTGTTTTGATCGTTCAACAAAATCGACGAAGTTCGTCGGCAAAAGGCGAAAATGCTTCCGGATACAGCAATGTGAACCATCTATGGAATAAGACATTCTGTTTCTCGTTTTAAAAGAACTCAAAGACTCTTATTTTTCAATTATGAAAATGTCGTCATTTGTAAACAGTGGTCTCCTCCCACATTGTTTTCATTTTACACGTAGTTTGATTTGATCGACACGATGAATGACTCTTATTGTTACATGGAAACGCCAGACCATTTTTATAAAACAAAAGTACACTGCATGTACTTTGATTTCAACAATATGTTAGTACGTATACCTTTTATAACGTACAGAAAGCTGTTTATTCTTCAAAGTTGTTAAATGCTGGGCCATGGGTTTTAAGGGCTGCATATGTAGTAAATACAGGTACTGAAAACCTGGCGGTCCCGGGTTCAATCTCGATGTTGGACGAGAAAGGTCCGGTGTGGTTTCCCCTGGCAAGTAACAGTGTCTGGTCATTCGGATGGGATGCAAAACCGAAGTCCCTTCTACACGCTGGCGTACACGTAAAGGACCATTGACACTTGAGATTCGCTGAAGAGTAAACGTAAAACACCATCTAAAGTTAGATGAGTGGTGCATACAGTAGATGCTGTGGGTGGAGGGGGGGGTGGAGAGAGAGAGAGGGGAGGGGGGTGGAGAGGGGGGACTAACATATTCAATTTTATTTCAATAAATCGCTTCCACGTAGAGCTCTTTAACGGTGGGGGAAATCGGAGGACCCGGGAAAACCCATATGTTCGACAGACGACCAAACTTCTTGTCGCATACGAGTGTTTGCTCGAAACTCTGTATCCTTTACGTTCCAA